AATTATATCAAAATTATATTAAAACTATATTGTTTTTTTCTTGTCTTGTAAGTTTCTCATAACAATATTTAAAAAAAATCCAACTTACTATAAATGGAACAATCTCCAATTCTCTGATTAATTAAACAATGATCACATTAGTATCTGTACATACAATCTATTTTCTTTGTTAAGGATACTGATGATCATTCCAGAAATAAGTAAGCAATAAATAAATAATAAACAGAATAATGAATTAATTTTTAAACTTACCCTTTTTTTGTTGAAAAAAACAAAATCTTGGAATCATTTTCTAACGATAATAGAAAAAGAAAATAAAGAAAAATGTTGCAAGATGATTATATAGTCTGGTCAGAAATTGCAGGGTTCATATCAATAGCTTGTTGGATGGTAGTGGCATTACCGTAAGTAGCTAATAATATAGTTAATAATATAGGATTATCATAGTCTTGATAGTGAACGAAATTTATAAACGAATTTATTTTATTGCAATAGACAGCTTTATGAAAACTATAAACGAAAGTCAGGTGACTCAGTGTCACTACCTTTCGTCTATATATGGTTACTTGGCGACTTTTTTAACTTGCTCGGTGCTATTTTACAAAAGTTATTACTAACAGTGGTGAGTCGTAGTTAATCATCCTAAGAAAATATTTGAAATTATTGAATTATTCGGAGTCTTATCCATGATCTTATCCATGATCAAATGGTTTGATACATAATCTCACATGAATTTATCTCATGAGAAATTTCATTTCTTACTAATGTGTAATATTATTATTATAGATTCTAATTGCGATATATCATAACGCAATCGATTTTTCAATCATATTACAAATTTATTATTATCGTATTCGTAGAAAGTATAAAAATTATGACTCAGACGAAGAAGTATCTCTTTTGCAACCAGTTCGCACTAATCCACAAACATCAGTATATCGATCAAGCACCAAACAATTCTTAGAAATTTTGATAGAACTTGTTGGTGTCTGTGTTGCTGGATTTATTATGTATTATATCTCTACTCTATTTAGGGATAGTGAAAAGGATGGACAAGGTGATCAGCAACATATGGAATTATTACCACAGATTTTTGGATGGTGTAGCGCTATGCTTTATCGTAAGTTTTTTTTTTAATTATAGATTTGAGGATCATTAATTAACACAGTATATACTCGTACCATATGTATTGCATGTATAATTTATATTGTGTAATTAACATTGAATCTTAGTTGGTGCAAGAATTCCTCAAATTATTCAAAACCATAAGTCACAATCTACTGAAGGATTATCACTGGCTATGTTCTGTTTTTGTGTTTTGGGAAACGTTACATTCTGTTCGGTATGTATTAAAGGTTACAATTTTTATACTGATTTAAATATTTGTAATCAATCAGCGAATTTATATATTTTAAATTACAGTCAATATTACTTTACTCGATGGAGTTTAACTACTTACTCATTAATCTTCCTTGGCTGTTGGGAAATGGTGGAACTTTATTGTTTGACTTTATTGTAAGCTTTAAATATTCGTATCTATTATGAAGTTTTAATATCCATGATATTCGACTAATTTCTATAATTTCTTTAATTTTATATAATTTCTAAAAGATTTTAACTCAGTTTTATATTTACAGAAATAGATCTTATTAATTATAACTACCGGGAAAATAAATATCTTTAATTTTTTGTGTATCATATTCTATTATAAAATCTGCACATGAAATTTTGCACATTTTATAGAAGGCGAAATCAATTTGGTCTCGTAATATAGTATTACAAAACATTTCTGACTCATCGAGTCTTTTCTTTTAACAAGCAACTAGAAAAGCCTTTTTATTTAAAATAAATGACAATCAATGAGCATAGCTATGTTTGCATAACTATGGTCCTGTTAACCCGAATAGTGTCGACCATAGATGCATACTTATTTATGTCATTATTTTATAAACTGATTTTTTATATAGGACGTAGCTAGGTGATGTCATAAATCTGCATCTATATAAAGCCAATCCCCGTTACTAAATAACACGTGACCAAATCCATCTAATTATACCTGGCAGTAGTACAAGTTTCCATTGGTCTCAATAATACCAATTACATTTCCTGCATCCATATTATCTTATTACTTATTTCTATATTTTATTATTTTTATATCACATTTATTTTTATTTTTTTTATTATTTTTTTATAAAGTAAGGCCTGGTCTTAGTCTTTATTGAATAATTATGTATTATATTGTTTAAATGGTTACATGAATTATTACAGAGACCTACAACTTATCTTTAGCCCAAAGCTTTAATAGAGTGGGTTACCTGACTTTTACTAGATTTAGTTTAGCTATATAAAATATAGATATATTAGTTGTGAAAAAGATTCTTGCTTATATATTATATTTGGTTAGATTAATATCATGTGCAAGAGGGTGAGGTTGGTTTAATAGTGTTAATATTGTATATTGGTTAGGGTTTTATAATTTGATTTGAATTGCTTTAATTTAATCAAATATTTAATGTCAAATCAAATTCAAATACAGAAATTTCAAATCAAATCAAATTGCAGAAATTTTGAATTTTTTTAAATATTGTTATGAGAAACTTACAAGACAAGAAAAAAACAATATAGTTTTAATATAATTTTGATATAATT